AATGATCAAGCTGAGCGCTAGCTTATTAAATTCTCGTTGCATGCTCGAGCGAGTGGCTTGTCTCCTTCCGGTCCTGCTGCCATGCATGCATGCATGCCGCATTCCTCGGCATGCTCAGCTCGGCCGAAGCAGCAGTGGGTGGGAGGGCCTATGTGTTTGCGGCCTCGGCACCCGCGCCTGCACATCACATGTTGCGGACCACACCTTCACTTCACGATGCCGATACGCCCTCCCGCTGTCCGCGCCCTGCCATTACACAATGCTATGCGCTGCGGACTTGACCTTGGCATAGAGACAACAACCAGCGCAGCCAGTCGGTAGGCCCACGCGCGCGAGGTCGCAAGGAAGCAAACACATGTGGCCGACGCGCTCGTCCAAGAAGAGAGACGCAGAGACATGCAATCAGAGAAACGAGAGACAAGCAAGACATTGATGATGCCACAGCGATGATTCGACGAAACGGGCAGACGAACGGTGATGTTTGGTGGGGCGTGGACACGACAGGGCCAAGCAAACAGACACGCCGTGGTGTAGGGACATGACGGTAATAAATGCCAATCAAAGAGTACGCTGTACGTCAGGAAAAATAAACGAAGCTGCTGCGCTCTCTCTCATCCGTTCGTGCTTATCAAAATAAACCCGTGAGTATATATATATATATATCGTTCAATTTATTAATGGATTTTATTTTATTTATAAAAACCGCTTTTCATGCTTAATTTAATAGAACAAACCATTTATCATTTATTTGCTAGAATCATTATCGGACATTCCTAAATATCTTTATGTACCGAGCAATTTAACTTGGCGTTAATTCGAGTCCACAACACTAAGTCACACACGATTCCCTCATCATGTTGACTACGTTTTAAATCAAAAATCCGAGAAACTCGTTTCGTAACTTTTTACTTAGGCCTAAATCGCTATGCTAAACAAGTTCGTAACACCAGGGGTGTTATAGAGGTTTTCTTTGGATATGGCCAAACCACATCAACCGATGTTGGATAAGCTTTTCTTCAATTGATGCTACCCCTAGGCGATCACGTATATCATCGTTCCGAACTCGGTCCATTCTTGTGTAACCACAAATCCATCGCAACTTGCGTATTTCTGCAACACTCAATTGTTGAACATGTCGAATCTTTGTAGGCCAAATTCTGCTCCATACAATATAGCCGGTCTAATCGTCGTTCTATAAAACTTGCCTTTTAGGTTTTGTAGTACCCTCTTTATCACAGAGAATGCTAGAAACTTGTCGCCACTTGATCCACCCTATTTTGATTCTATAGCTAACGTCCGCATCAATATCTCCATCCCTCTGTACCATCGATCCCAGATACCGAAAGGTATCCTTCTTAGACACTACTTGACCTTCCAAACTCACATCCCTCTCCTCCTATACAGCTCCGCCAAAGTCGCATCTCATGTATTCGGTTTTAGTTCTGCTCAATCCAAAACATTTAGACTCAAAGGTCTGTCGCCATAACTCTAGTTTCCTATTTACTCTCGCATGGCTTTCGTCCACTAACACTACATCATCAGCGAACAACATACACCTAGGGATATCCCCTTGTATATTTCTGGTAACCTCATCCATTACCAAGGCAAAGAGATACATGCTTAAGGTTGACCCTTGATGACGTCCAATTTTAATCTAGAAGTAATATGTATTACCATCATTTGTTCGAACACTAGTCATAATATTGTTGTACATGTCCTTTATGAGGGTCACGTGCTTTGATGGGACTTTATGTTTGTCCAAAGATCACCATATATCATTTCTTGGTAACTTGTCATAAGCCTTCTCCAAGTCAATAAAAACCAAGTGGAGGTCCTTCTTCTGCTCTCTAAACCGCTCCATAACTTATCTTATTAAGAAGATTACTTCTGTGGTTGACCTTTTGGGCATAAAATAAAATTGGTTTTTTGATATCTGCGTCGTTCCTAGCAGGCGTTGCTCGATGACTCTCTCCCATAACTTCATAGTGTGGCTCATCAACTTAATTCCCCGATAATTAGTACAACTTTGAATATCTTCTTTGTTCTTGTAGATTGGTACCAATATGCTTCTTCTCCACTCCCTCATGCATCTTGTTCGATCGAAAGATATTGTTGAACATCTTGGTTAGCCATACTATAGCTATATCCCCGAGACATCTCCACACCTTGATTATGATACTATTAGGGCCCATCGTTTTGCCCTCTTTCATCCTTTTCAAGGCTTCTCTTACCTCCGATTCTTGAATCCTTCGCACAAAGCGACTGTTAGTGCCATCAAACGAGTCGTCCAACCGAACGGTGGTGTTCTCGTTCTCACCATTGAACAATTTATCAAAATACTCTTACCATCTATGTATGATCTCATCCTCCTTCACCAAGAGCTACTCCCTCTCATCCTTTATGTACTTGACTTGGTTGAAGTGTCTTCCTATCGCGAGCCCTATCCATCCTATAAATGCCCTTCTCTTATTCCTTCGTACTCAAACGTCGGTAAAGGTTCTCATAGGCCCACCCCTTTACCTCACTCACCGCTCGTTTTGCAGTCTTCTTTGTCACCTTATACTTCTCTATGTTGTTTGCACACTTGTCATGATATAAGCGCTTATAGCACTTCTTCTTTTTCTTAATAGCCTTCTGCACATTTCGAGTCGCATCCGTCCCCTTTAGTCACTCCAAGCACCTCTGAAGCAACCTTCCGAACGCATGCTGCCATCTTCTTTCACATGCTGTTTGCATCGCCTTCATCCTTCCAAGGGCCCTCTTCAATGACATTTTCCTTAAAAACCTTTGATGCATCCCCTTCTAATTTTCACCACTTCGTTCTAGCAACCCTAGCTTGTTTGTTCCCACGAGCTTGCACCAGAAAGCGAAAGTCAGCCACCACCAGTAGGCATAGTATATCTAAGTACATAATAAAAGTTATATATCTAAAAAAGTCAAAAAGTTTTATAATTTGGAATAGATAAAGTATATTTTTAAGGAATTATTTTAAACATACCTAAAATTTAGAGTTCTTTTGGCACTTCGGCTTTGGATTTTGGTTTCTTGTGGCTCTTGCCGCGAGATCGAGCCAAACAACCATTTCAGAAATAGCTCCTTGTAAGGAGTTGGAGCTTTTTTTTTACTGAGGCAAGGCCATGAAAACATGGCTTCTGCCAGTTTCTCCTTATACACTTAACACAAAATATTACAAAACTGACGTTGAAGCTGTTTTAGCTAGATGTCTTTCGAAATGGTTTCAGAACCGTAACCTCTTTATGAGTGTAGTTAAAACAAGTAACCTAATGTACATTAGTGACCTAACCTTTCAATGAACTTGATTGTATACGATGTAGGATCTAATTTTAGCATTAAAGGCGAAAATACATTATTAACAAAAAATATACTCAGTATAATACATGAATAATAACTAGCAAAGGGTAGAATATGATAATTTTGATTTACAACCTGAATTCACATTTTTAAAGGGAATATAATAAATGTTGTCTTGAAGATCATGATCCTAAACTTAATATCATGGTTACATGACATTAATCAAAATATATGATATTATCTTATCATGACTCCGTGAGATCCTACTACATATCACAGATTGATTCACAATCCTTGCTACTAGCACTAGATAGTACTCTTTTCATCTAAAAAAATAATTTTAGGTTTGAGTCTAATCAAACTTTCTTACTTAAGTTTGATAAATAAGTATTTATCAAAATTTTACTATCAAAATATATTGTAAATTAAATATAATGATATTTAATTGATATAAAAGATATTTGTTGGTGGTTGAAGTTGAAACTATTTGACTTATCAGGAAAATAGAATTATGTTGTTTTTTGGAAAAGAGCTATGCAAGGCAAAATTTATGCCCCTCTATTTTTTTAGGCCAGGTCGATTTTGCTTGCGCGCTCCTTCCTTGGCGTCTTCTCCCTCTCCGGTGCCCCTCACCCCCACGATCGCCCACTGCCTCGTCGTCGCACGCTAGGGTTTCACTCGGGCGAAACCCTAGCGGGCCCACGACGACCGCTTTCTTCCCGTCCCCCTCCTTCTGTGGCGAGCTTCGGCCATGGAGCTCCCCCGCCTTACCCTGTCCTGGCCACCTCCACCACCGCTAGGATCCCTAAACCGCCCTACCGCTGTCCCCACAGACTGGCCAGACTTCCTCCCTCAAACCCCTTCTCTTCTAAGCTCGCGGAGTTGGGGAAGAAGGGGTGGGACGAGTGCAAAACCATTGGGTGCGGACACGTGTGGTGGGAAGAAGAAAAGTGCGCTGGTGGGACCCACCACATGCGTTGGCGTTGGAGCATGTGTGAGAGCAAGTATAATAACAAGCTGTAAACTAGCTAAATGCTGAGGTGGAGGAGAGAGAAGAGTGGAGAGGAGAGAGAAGAGAAGCAGGCTGTATGCTTACAGCCGGCTTAAGCACGAGAACAAATAAACTTTGTGAGAGAGATAAGTGGGTCATATATTAATAGTAAAAACTAACTACTATATGAGTAGGCTAAGAGAAGGCTGTAAAGAGCCTTAGAGCCGGTAATATTATTAGCCTTGCTCTGGGGAAAAAAGGGCTGGCCTATATTAAGTCATTACCATTTTGTTTATAAAAAAACTAGAGCCAGGCACCGTGGTCTTTTTTTTTTATAAGGACACCGTGGTCTTTTAAAACAGCAAATGATCAGGGCATATATAAAAAAACACGAATTAAAATGTGTATAGTGCATGTGCTATATTCATTTGGCTGATAAAAAAAATATCGTTCACTGATTTATAGCGAGAGAAAAATACTATTTATTCATCGAAACGCCTTATGAGTCGTGGAAGCTGATCCCCCATCACCTGGACCCCGCGTTAAGATCGGGACTCTTGTCGTCTCTCACCTTTTCCTCTTCCCCTCGTCTGTTCCCGGCGGCCGTTCCCCTTTCCCCTCTCCAAAACCTCTCCCAAAGGCCCAAACCCTTGGAAACTGCGCCGCCGGCGCCGCCCTCGCAACCACCGCCGCAGCAATGCGCCGATCTCAGGACCGCGGACCCTTCCGCCCGCCGGATCGGATCCCACGGCCTCCCCACCACCATCGCGACCACCACTACCACAACGAACACCGGTACCAGCCTCACTCACACCCCCACCTCGACCGACACTACAGCACCGAACACCGGTATCAGCCCCGCGCCCAGCACCAGCGCGACTGCCACGTGCAGCCGTCCCCTCCCCCGTCGCAGTTCGAGGTATTCCTCGTCCGCCCGGGTCCCGATCTGTCCGCCCCGACTGCCATTGAGGTTGAGGCCCTCGTCGCGGACCTCAAGTCGCCGGCGCCGGCCAGCATATCCGTCCACTCCTCCGGCCGCCATGCCGCGCGCCTCCTCTTCACCTCCATCTCGGACGCCGCGGCCGCCGCGCGCGAGCTGTGGGCGTTCCGCCTCGAGGGGCTCCACCTCCTCACCCTGGACCTACCGCACCCCGCCCTCGCCGCCCACGCCTCGCCGCAGTTCGCCTCGCTCTTCGAGGACCACGCCACCCGCCTCCTAGACTCCGACCTCGTGGCCCTCTCGGCCGCCCGCTCCGCCGAGCTCGCGGTGTCCATACGGGATGTAAAGCAACGTCTGGGCTCGCGTAACAGCTTCCGCGACTTCCATCAGCTGGACCTCGAGAAGAAGACACTGGAGTCTGAGAAGGAGTTGATCGATGCCAAAATTGCCGAGTACAAGGAGGCGATGTGGTCGATACAGCGCACAATGTTGCGCGGATCGGGGGACAAGGAGGAGGGTGTCGACTTGTTTGGGGCTGTGGAAGGTGCAGATGTGGACTTTGTGAGGGTGCATATGATGCTGCTGCGTGAGTGCCGGAGGCTTAAGGAGGGCCTGCCGATCTATGCATACCGCAGGAGGATTCTTAATTATATTTTCGCTAACCAGGTAACGATGGGTCATTGGAATTTGCTATGTGATTTTAACTTCAAGGGAATTGCAATGTCATGTGAATTATTTGATGTTTTGCGCTCGGTATGCTTAGAACTGTAGAGAATTCTTGTGTCTAGATTTTGGTAGTGAGTGCCTACTTAGACTGTAGTAAGAGAGAATTCTTTTAATTAATGCATTAGAAATTATACTCCTCCCTTTTGTCATAGGGAATTATACTCCTCCCTTTTGTCACAGAAAAAATCATTTCTGTTATAGGCCACTGGTTTAAGTTTTTGTTTCCTAAAAAACTCAGACATCCTGATTTTGTTCGCAAGAGTTTGTGGCAGCCTTCGAACCCGGACTGGTGACGGGGGTTCCATCAAACCCCGTTTTCAAATGTCTGACCACAGTATAACTCAGGAGAAGTTGGCCATTTTGCTCCTCTCCATGCCACTTCTGTTGGGTGCTAGAATGCTGTGAAGTGGTGAGGTAAAAGATGATTTTGCCCCTTTAGATAGAATGAAGCAAGGCTTTGCTATTTCTTTGTGTAAATGCAACAACATGACATAATGCCTCTATGACATAGTGCAATTGCAGCATAGTTAAACACCAGCACAGCTTGCATGGCCATGCGTGACCCAGCTGGCATATTATCTCTAATCGCAACAGTTTTGCCAAACATTACAAGAAAAATCTACATTGGCTTATGATTTTTTTTTTTGCAAGAATTGACTTATGATTTTGTTTTGCCCAACTATGAAACAGGTGCAGAAAACGATGTTGTTTTATTCATTCAAGTAAAAATCATGTCAATAATTGATAACATTTTCTGTTTCTTCATAATTCGTATCCTCTCTGCATATGCAGATAGGCCCTCCCCTCTGTGTCTCTCCATTCCTTTCTCCTTTCTCCTTTTTCCTTTTGCAAATACAACAACACTTATAACCTTCCACATGGCTAGATGAGACTTGATAGTTGGATGCTTCGTTCTGTATGGGTCATAATGTCTGCTCACTAGCACAAGTTCCTTACTGTACTAACCTCTTTGCAAATACTCCAGTGAAAGCCTTTGTCGTACGGTCGCGATTGTTGCGCTGTTTCCAAATCTCCCAAGCGACCAAAATAATTAACGAGCTGAGCCCTTGCTTGCTTTCCTTCTCAATCTGTTTAATCACCCAAGACCACCAACTGGAGAAGCTTGCTGTCTCTGCTGAGGTGCTATAAAGGTAAACCACATGAGAGGCCAGAGCTTTCAGGGAAAAAATCAGATGAAAGGAAGAAACTGGCACGAATGCAGAATGATTTATGCCTGTATGGTACATAACATATATAAGTGTAATGGTACAAAAGGGAAATAGCCAAGTTACTCGTAATACTTCCTAGTGGGTAAAATTGTCTTTTCCCTCGCCATTCCACAGCAGTATAACACCCAACTAACTGAAGTGGCATGAAATGGTTCAAAATTTTGAACAAATGGCACATTTCTTTGGATTGCACATAGGGAAGAGTGTAATTTCTAGTGGCATTGAAGGAATTCGACCTTTGGGTTGTCCAACATCCTAAATAAACTGAAATTGAGCCCTCTGTTTTTTATTCTTATGTGTATTGGCATAACATTCTTGCTTTTCCATAATTATGAGAAGAAGAAAGGTTATTACGTGTATTGTTTTTTTTTTGACGGGGCATCAAACTTTTGATTCTGTGGCCTGTTCAATGTTCATCTGTTAACAATTTACTTTATCTACAATCAGCTGTTATTTACTTTCATTTATTTCTAAAAGTTTGGACAGCATAGTTTGTCGTTGAGAAAAAAATTCTTGCTCTAAACTTAATGAGCTCCATTTTCCTTAGGTCATGGTCTTAATAGGAGAAACAGGTTCTGGGAAGAGCACACAATTGGTTCAGTTTCTTGCTGACTCAGGTCTTGCTGGTGGTGGTTCCATCATCTGTACTCAACCTCGAAAGCTTGCTGCTATATCTTTAGCACATAGAGTCGATGAAGAAAGTAAGGGTTGTTATGGGGACAGTTCTGTGCTGTCATATTCAACCTTACTAAATTCTCAAGGTTTTGGCACTAAGATTATATTCACCACGGACAGTTGTCTTCTGCATTACTGCATGAGTGATATGAGTCTGGATGGCATTTCATATATTATTATAGATGAAGCTCATGAAAGGAGCTTGAATACTGATCTTCTGTTAGCTATGATCAAGAAGAAGCTGCTTGATAGGCTGGATTTGCGGCTCATTATAATGTCTGCCACTGCTGATGCTGACAGACTTGCTGAATATTTTTATGGCTGTCAAACATTTCATGTTAAAGGGCGAACTTTTCCTGTTGAAATTAAATATGTCCCTGATATATCAGCAGAGGCTTCATTGAATAGTGTACCAAGTATTTCTTCTGTTGCTTCTGCTACTGCTTCCTATGTTACTGATGTTGTACAAATGGTAAACATAATCCACAAGAATGAAGAAGAGGGTGCTATACTTGCTTTTTTGACATCTCAACTGGAAGTAGAATGGGCCTGTGAAACATTCAGTGATCCAAATGCTGTGGTACTTCCGATGCATGGAAAGCTTTCTTCTGTAGAACAGAATCTTGTCTTCAAAAGCTACCCTGGAAAGAGAAAGATTATCTTCTGCACGAATATAGCTGAAACATCATTGACGATAAGAGAAGTGAAGTATGTTGTTGATTGTGGCTTGGCCAAAGAATACAGATTTGTTCCCAGTAGTGGTCTCAATGTACTCAAAGTAAATTGGATTTCCCAAAGCTCTGCTAATCAACGTGCTGGCCGTGCTGGCCGAACCGGAGCAGGGAAGTGTTACAGGCTCTACCCTGAATCTGACTTCGGTATGATGGAAGCGCATCAAGAACCTGAAATTCGTAAAGTTCATCTCGGCACTGCTGTTCTGAGAATACTTGCTTTGGCCGTTACAGATGTAAAATATTTTGAGTTTATTGATGCCCCAGATCCTGAGGCTATCAATATGGCTGTGCATAATCTTGAACAACTTGGTGCTATAGAATATAAATGCAGTGGATTTGAGCTAACTGACACTGGACGTGATCTTGTCAAATTGGGCATTGAGCCAAGGCTTGGGAAAATCATGCTTGATTGCTTCAGCTATGGTTTGATGAAAGAAGGTTTAGTCCTAGCCTCTGTTATGGCAAATGCTAGTAGCATATTTTGTAGAGTGGGTACTAATGAGGAGAAATATAAAGCGGACCGTCTGAAAGTCCCTTTCTGTCACCCTGATGGAGACCTTTTCACTTCACTTGCTGTTTATAAGAAGTGGGAGGCTGGGCATGATAACAAAAATATGTGGTGCTGGCAGAATAGTATCAATGCCAAGACCCTGAGGAGGTGCCAGGAAACTATATCTGAACTTGAAAAATGTCTAAAGCATGAGCTAAACATTATCGTTCCAAGTTACTGGAGTTGGAACCCTGAGAAGCCTACTATGCATGATACTTCACTAAAGAAGATTATTCTATCATCTCTTAGAGGTAATCTTGCTATGTTTTCTGGACATGAGAAATTTGGGTATCAGGTGATTTCAGCAGATCAGCCTGTGCAACTTCACCCTTCATGCTCATTGTTGACTTATGGCAGCAAGCCTGAATGGGTGGTATTTTCAGAAATCTTGTCAGTTCCGAATCAATATTTGGTATGTGTAACTGCTGTTGATCGTAACGATGTGTGTACAGTTCACCCTTTTATTAAGCCACTGGAGGAGAGTAAATTGCAGAGGAAAGTGATTACTGGGATTGGAAATAAATCGCTGAGAAGATTTTGTGGTAAATGTGGCCAAAATCTGCAGAAAATCATCTCACTTCTGAGAGAAGATTGCAGAGATGACCGCATAATGGTTGATTTAGACTTCAGTAGCAGTGAAGTTTTATTATATGCTAAAGAACATGACATGGAAACGGTCTTTTGCATGGTTAATGATGCTTTGGAATTTGAAGCTAAAATGCTGAGGGATGAATGTGACGAGAGAAGATCTGGTGGCTCTACTATTGCATTATTTGGCTCTGGTGCTGAAATCAAGCATTTGGAACTTGGGAAGAGACATCTAACTGTGGAGATTCAGCATCAAAATGCTCGTGATATAGATGAAAAGGAACTTATTGCTTTGGTATATTCTCGTGTTCCTGGTATAGCAAATTTTCATAAACTCGGGAATTTTCAGACAAACGCAGATGAAACGAAGTGGGGAAGGTTTACATTCCTCAAACCAGATTATGCTGATCATGCCATTTCAAAATTGAATGGGATTGAGTTTCATGGTTCCTCACTAAAGGTGGGTCCTGTAAGTGCTTACAACCACTCAGGGCTACCATTTCCTGCAGTAAGAGCTAAAGTTTCTTGGCCACGTAAGCCAAGCAGGGGACTTGCACTTGTAACATGTGCTAGTGGGGAAGCTGAATTTATTGTAAAGGACTGCTTTGCCCTTGGAGTTGGTGGAAGGTATATCAACTGTGAGGTTAGTAAAAAGTATGCAAACTGTGTCTTTGTCACGGGGGTTCCATTGCATGTAACAGAGCCAGAATTGTATGATGCTTTTTGTAGTACAACCACCAGGAGAATCCTTGACATCCACTTACTTAGAGGACCGCCCACAGCTAGCTCTTCCGATTCTGAATGTGCAGAAGCACTGATGAGAGCGATATCACTATTCATGCCAAATAGGAATTTTCCTGGCCAAAATTTTCGTGTTCACGTGTTCCCTCCAGAAGAGAAAGATTCAATGATGAGAGCTACCATATCCTTTGATGGAAGTTTTCACAGAGAGGCTGCAAGAGCACTGGACCATCTTCAAGGAAGTGTTCTTCCTTGTTGTCTTCCTTGGCAGATAATCCAGTGCCAGCATGTATTTCATAGTACTGTCTCCTGTCCAATGCGCATATACAATGTCATCAGCCAAGAAGTTGGTGTTCTACTTGAGAGCTTCCGTAGCCAAAAAGGTATTGTTGTATTCCTCGCCTGAGAAAATTTGCTTCTATCTTCTTACTGTTCTGTTGTCATGAGTCATGACATTCTGCTCTTCCTGCATTACTGCTTTGTTCTTGTTTGTTATTAAAAAATTGGCTGCCTCTAATGCTTACTGCTGCTCTGTTGGTAGAACCACAATCTGCTATTCCCTCCTATTCTTGTTTGACTGTCATTTTGTTCTTCAGTTTTATATGAGGCAGTCACAAACTGTTTGAGTCATCCTTTATTGCATTTCATTCAATATAAGGCCTTCTCTTTGTCTTCGAAAATCCTTTGTCCCTACCATTTCTCTCTAGGAAGCTACTTATGGTCGTTGTCTGTTTAGCTTTGTTGCTCTTTTGTTTTCTGGAAGAATCGGAATCTAGCCTATTTCAAGGCTCAAGAGATGATCAGGTATTCAGGTTGTATCCAGTTATATTGTTCCCCATGCCTTCACTTGCTTGGGGAAGAAACCTATTGTAAATTCTAGGTTTGAGTGTAAGTAGAACTTGCAGAGCATGAGCAATTAGATAGCGATCTCCGTTTGAACTATTTCGGTTTGAAAAGGGTAAAATTATGGCGTCGTTTGCTTCTAAGGCTCAATTGAAAAGTAATAAACTTTGAAGTGAAGTGAGCTGTATGAAAACAAATCATAAAAGATCAACCACAACCGCCTTAGGTGTCAAGAATGTGTTGCATTAGTGAATAGGTATATTCCAATGCTCCCTTGTAGTTAAATCCTATAAGCATAATTCTGTGCACCACCATATTATTTCTTCATTTTAGGCTGCAAACAAATTGATCTTTAGTGAATTTAAAGTCTTAATTACATCGGGCTGCCTATAACAGCACTAGTCCTAGCCATGGTGTTTTTCCCTGGCTGGTGTTTTTTTTTTAAGTGGCCAGCCTTGTATGTTGTTGATGCAGTGTGGGGTGTGTGAGTCATGTTGCGCGTGAGTGTGAACCATCATGGGTCTTTCTTTTGTGCCCCCCTTTTTTCTCTTATAATGAAATGATACGCAGCCTCCTACGTATTCCAGAAACAAAGTCTTAATCACAGTGCTATTCCTACATGCAGGTGTGTCATACAATTTGGAGAAGAACGAGAATGGTAATTTCCGTGTTAAGCTTTCTGCAAATGCCACGAAAACAATAGCAGATTTGAGAAGGCCTCTTGAGCTTTTGATGAAAGGAAAAATTATAAACCATCCTGATCTGATGTTAAACACAGTTCAACTGCTATGGTCCCGTGATGGTATGGAACATTTGAAATCAGTTGAACAGGAGACCGGCACTTACATTCTGTACGACAGGCTAAGTCTGAATATTAAGGTCTTTGGCAGCAGTGATAAGGTGGCTGCAGCGGAGGAAAAATTGGTTCGTGCACTTGTACAGCTCCATGAGAAGAAGCCTCTTGAAGTTTGTCTTCGTGGCCGGAACCTCCCACCAAACTTGATGAAGGAAGTGATTAAAAAGTTTGGAGCTGATTTAGAAGGACTGAAGAACGAGGTTCCTGCAGTAGATCTTCAGTTAAATACACGAAGGCAGGCACTTTATGTTCGAGGCAGCAAGGAGGACAAGCAAAGGGTGGAAGAGATGATCTCTGAACTGATAGCCTCTAGTGACCACAATGCTCCACTGCCATCAAAGAATGCATGTCCTATTTGCCTGTGCGAGCTAGAAGATCCTTTTAAGCTTGAATCCTGTGGTCATATGTTTTGTTTGGCATGCTTGGTGGATCAGTGTGAATCTGCCATAAAATCGCAAGATGGCTTCCCTCTTTGTTGCCTCAAAAATGGGTGCAAGAAGCTCCTCCTCCTAACTGATCTGAGGTCTCTCCTGCCTGACAAGCTGGACGAGCTGTTCAGGGCTTCCTTGAATGCATTTGTTGCATCTAGCGCAGGATTGTACCGTTTCTGCCCCACACCTGACTGCACATCCATTTACCAAGTAGCTGCTGCAGGCGCAGAAGACAAACCCTTTGTCTGTGGGGCTTGCTCTGTGGAGACCTGTACCAAGTGCCATGTCGAGTACCATCCTTTTATCTCTTGTGAGGCATACAAAGAGTACAAGGCAGACCCGGATGCGACTCTGCTTGAATGGCGCAAAGGGAAGGAGAATGTAAAGAATTGCCCTTCATGTGGATATACAATTGAGAAAGCTGAAGGTTGCAACCATGTTGAGTGTAGGTGTGGCAGCCATATTTGTTGGAATTGCTTGGAGAACTTCAAGAGCAGTGAGGAGTGTTATGGCCATCTCAGGTCTGTGCACTTATCCTATCAGTGAATTATGTAGATCTGATGTAAATTTGTACAGATGGTAAATAATCACGTGGTCTATAATATGGCAAGCTGGTTTTTCCTTCCAACAGTGATTGTCTGATCCCAACAGGTTCCCATCTCTTTCTGTGTTGAGAATATTGTAGGCGCTTTATCATTTTTTACTAGAATACTATCCAGGACACTGTATTGTGCATCAGCGAACCCCTTTTTAACACTACCCTTGCTCTCATCCTTGTGAGTTGTGGCAGCGGATTGTTCTTAGGATGTTAATCTTTCATCTGGACACAGATTCTGATAGCAGAAAATGGTGCGGTAGGCGCAGGCCAGCGATGCCTTTGCTTACACAAGGCTCGCGCGGGCCTTAACTGAAACATAATTTCTCTTTCTGTTCTCGTTTGGTTGCATACTCGTATTTGTTCGTAGCATGAGGACTATCCGTTTACAGTTTCAAAAAAGGACTATCCGTTTAAGTATTCTTGTTCATTCACGAGTTAGTTAGGCCTTGTAAAGCTTGCTTTTGTGCCTTTTGCCAAATGTGTATGGCATAAGCTCAAGCTCGATCCGGCTGCAGGGGTTCCTGGGTCCTCTCTGCCGCGGTTTATTGAACTTGGTTCATTGTTTACACACTTCTCCAAAAGTATCACATGACTGTAGGTATGATCATATGAGTGCACTACTTATGATGTCCATTGGTACCAATTTTTTTTTTTGAACGCAATGGCATGAGCTCTGCCTTTTAATTAACGATAGAGAAAGAGGGTTTATGTACAAACATTGGTACCAATTTCAACACAACTATACATGTGCCATGCACAAACACATTTACATGGGCATAGCACATCGACATGAGGATAGATACATGGGCAATCTCCAGGCACCATGAACAACAAGAACATACTCCTGAAGATTCTTTGCAGCGCTATCATAGTTCACGAAGGCCAGCCTGAATGTATCTCTGAGCAGGGTTTTGCTGACTTGCTGTGCGAGTAACTGATCAGGCATAGTTGGAGCTAGGAATTAGCCACAAGTGTATATATCTTTCAGTCAGTAAAGTTCAGAGAGACTCGAACAAAGCAACATATAGATGCTTATAACCTGCTCAAGGTGATGTATGCGATGATATACAATGGAAATGGATGTTTCACTCGTGGAACAAGCAATCAAATAGCGTATACCAAACAATACTGGTTTCAATCAACTTCATTCAGTATTTACACATTTTATCCAAAAACATCACATGCTAAGGATCTGAATGCACTACTTAATGATGTGTACAAATTTCAACACAAGATGCACAACTATACAGGTGCCACGCACATATACATTTACACGGACATACTACATCCACATAGAGGATAAATAATGGGCAGCCTCTAGGCCCCGTGAACACCTCGAACAGCCTCCTGAAGATTCTTTACCGCACTATCATAGTTCACGAAACCCATGAACCAGAACTCGTGGCTATCGACTGAAACGACCTGAATGTACCTCTCTGCAGGGTTTTGCTGACTTGCTGTGGGAGTAACTGATCTCAGGTGAGGAAGTGGTAAAACCACCTGTTCAAGCGTACATAAGTGATCAGGCGTGATTGTTACTAGGAATTAGCCACAACTGAGTATATCTTTCAATGACCAAAATTCAGACTCAAACAAAGCAGCATGTAGATGTTTATCGACCAAGACTAGCAAACCTACCGTTTCCATTTTGTCAATATACTATACTAAGTAGCAACTTTGTAGCACACATACCAATCTCTATACTACAAATAAAACAGTGGATAACTAATGTGAAATCAAGTAATCGATATTTCGCAACAAATTGGTCGTGTACAATAAAAGTTCACACATACTCTGATGCAAACCAGAGTATCTTACAACAAAATCATGTAAAATGTCCCTTTTTTTAGCATCAAATCCAGAGGACCAAAGAACTCACTCCACTGCATACACAGAAGAAGATGAACAAAAGACGCGGGCACCACGTACCTTATAAAAGGATGACTCAGTTTTGTTGTCCTCAGTCACATATTTCACAGGGCTGTCGCTACCGAATGCAATCTTCACAGTCGAGAGATACAGGATGCCCATGATCGGTCCATGCGACGTTGATAGGTAGCACACGTATGCCTTCTTGAGCTTCTCATCAGGCGAGCACTCAAAAGTCTGCTGAAATATCTTGTCGTAGCCACCCTCAGATATAACCTTTGATATCTGAGCAATCCTCCCCATGGCAGTATCAGTAATGCTGGGTCCAGTTTTCACTGCAGAGATGCACACACAGAGTATTACTATCGCAGTAACACTAGAGTATTATTTCAGTAACAATAGTTACTTAGTGCGTTGCTTATCTGAACATAGCATAGTTCACGTGTTACTATTAGTGTGCTTCTGATTGGACGCGACGGATCACCACCATCTACGTGGTAGTAGTAGTACTCAGAATTGGTGTCAGTGTGGGGGAAATCGAAGCACTCACGGTGCTGCCAGACGTCGCCGGCGATGCCCTCGGTCTTGCGCGCGGCCTCGTTGAACTTCTTCCCCACCATGCCGAACATCTCCCTCAGGTTCTCCCTAGCGCCTGCAAGCGGCGAACCATCCCCCAAAACCAGAGCGATGAGGCCGCAACGAGCTAGGCAGCGAAGCGATCACCAAGAAGAAGATGAGCGGCGAAGACCGCATCGAGGGGGCGGGCGCTGACTCACCCTTGGCGGGCGGATTGGACGACGGGGCGGAGAGCACGTAGGGGTTGGCGCCGGCCGGCGGCACGACAGGCGGCGGCGGCGGTTCGATGTCCTCCGGGGACAGCCGCGGATACGCCGCGTGCTCCTCGGCCGCCGCGGCGGGCGAGCTGGCGTCGGGCTTAGGATCCATGGGCGATTGGGGAATGGGGGTCAGCGTCGGTAGGGGGAGGGGAGGGGAAGGGGGCAGACTGCCAGACTGCGGTGGGGAAGGTTGCTGGGGAAGCTGTTGCCTGTTGGGCACTACTTGGGCTGTTGACTGCTCAGAGGGGGACGGCCGGACGAGGACGACGGGCCTGAGTGCCACACACGTGGATCCGAACACGCGTTCGGATCGGAGCCGTCCAAGACCGCGTTCGGTTTCCTATGAACCGTTCGACCTGGAATTGAGAATTTCTTCAATAATTGAAAAAAGTCCATATTATGTCTTCAATTTTCGCGAAAATCCGTTTTTTCTCCTTGAACTTCAAAACCGGGCAAAACACCTCCCTCGACTTTTAAAACCGTTCATCTTACCTTCCTAACCCTGTTGTAAGCAATTTTAAAGACGATTTTGTCTTTTTCTTTTTTATTTATTTTGGCTGAATCTTTAAAAATCATAATAAATCACAGAAAAATTATAAAATAAAAAATCTAATTTTGTTCGACTCCACATGAGTAGATCTATACAGTGAACATATAATACGGTATGCTTTAGTACAAAGTTTTTGTTGTGGCTTTAAATCTATGCTTTTCTGTAATTAATTGGAATAATTCATAGCTGCAGTTTTATGGTCAATTGTGAAGAAATTTTTATGATGAGCTAATTATTGCATGATTGAACTGTAGTAAAAATTTCATACTCATTGGATTATGTATAGCTTAGTTATAGATTTATTTATATTTAACAAGCATAAATCTAAATAAAATCTATAACTAAGTTATACATGATCCAATGAGTATAAAATTTTTACTACAGTTTAAGTATATAATAATTAGCCCATCATAAAAATTTCATCATAATTGGACCATAGAAACTACAGCTATGAATTATTCTATTTAATTACAAAAAACATAGATCTAAAGCTACAACAAAAACTTTACATTAAAGCATACCATATTATATGTTCACAGTAGATCTACTCACGTGGAGTCAAAAAAATGGATTTTCCATTTTATATTTTTTTCTGTGATTTACTATGATTTTTTAAAGATTCGTCCAAAATAAATAAATAAATAAATAAAACCGTCTTCAAAACTGCTTATAACCGGGCCAGGGAGGTAAGATGAACGATTTTAAAAGTTGAGGAAGGTGTTTTGCTCGGTTTTAAAGTTTATGGAGAAAAATAAACTTCGCGAAAATTAAGGGAGGTAATGCGGACTTTTCCCTTTATAATTTGTAATGACTGAAATAATTCTGGCCTGGAACAGCCCATTCCAGCAAGTAAAGATGGCAACGGGTAAAATCCGCGCGGATACTAGCTCTAGATATCCATACCCGTGAGCAAAAATCATGCTCGCTTGCATCAGATTAGCAACTGTCACGGTAGAAAACCATGCCGTGCCCGCTATCCGCGGATATCACATGCCCAAGGCACACCAGTATACCCGTAAAAATGAAGCAACAAAGCACCCAACCATATCTTAATAGCAAGTAAGAAACAATATATCAAAAATAAACGTCTATATCTCAACATTAGATAAAGTATGACACATTGACCATACAAGAGTCATCAAAAGTCTACATTAGTGTATCTCAAGTCATCATAAATTAACACGAATAAAGACATACAACCGTATATAGACTTATAGGGTCATTGGCGCGGGTCTAGCGGGTTTGCGGGTGCGGATATTATTTTTCCATGCCCACGAGCAAATATCCATCGGGTTTAGAATCACACCCATACCCATGCCTGTAGGCACAAACTTAAACCCATATCCATGCCCATCGGATTTTCTATCCACGGGCACACGGATATTTTGTGCCCGTTGCCATCTTTAGGCCCAAGTGGCGGAACAACACGGACAGCTCAGACACATGCCGCTCCGAGGTCCAGTTGACTACGCCCGCGCTCGCTCTCTCCCAGTCCCAGTCTCTCTAGGTCCCGTGCTCCAGGTCCAGCGAAACGACCAGCGTGAGCTCTGCTCGTATAGGAGAGCGCCCGCAGCGCTTGGCCGTCGGCCGGTCGGCGTCCAAGCGTTTCGCCGACGGGTGGCCATCACGTCTGGCTCAGCAGCGTGTTCCCTGCTGCCGCGAGGCTGCGAGCCTGCATCTGCTCTGTTGCGGTTGCGGCAGCCAACACATCGTCAGTTCGTCACAGATGGTACTGCCATTCAAGTGTTCAACAGCTAGCTTTTCTCGCGTCGATCGAGAAGGGAAAGATTGAGAAAAAATTACATCTCTCAATTCTACAGAAGGATTATTTGGAGAACCTAAATAAAACTCTCTGAAAATTTTGGTTTTATAGTACCCAAAGAACGTTATTTTTACAAAATACCACCAAAAGACCTCCATCATTCAGGGTACGTTTGTATGAACGTTATTTTTTTTTTGGGTAATCTATAGACTAATAGATTACCCAAAAAAAAACCTAGTCGATGACTAATGAACTCATTTTAACCAAATATATACAAGAGATTACTAATATTTGTGGTATGTAAGAAATATTATTAACTTAATCGTTGAATATATTTTTATAATATACTTAATGAGATATAAATATTATTATATTTTCTATAAATCTAGTCAGATTTAAGAAAGTTCGATAGGCATGAAAATTTAGACGACAATTAAAAATGGACGGAGGGAGTAAAAATTAGTCAACTACTCCCTCCATTCTAAACTACTATAAAACATTTTAGCTTTTCTAGATATATTCGCCCATTTCGCTTGGCTGATAAGTTATGACTGAAAGTACTGTTGGCTGATTTATCGTGAGAGAAAAATATTGTTCGTTGACTGAAAAAATACGACTTATAAACCAAACGAACATGACGATTGTTTTCATTATATACCTAGATAGTGTATATCTAAATATATAGAAAAAACTACATAGAGCATCTTATAATTTGTAATTGAGGGAGTAGTTGTTAGTAGCTAGTCCTACAAATCCAGGGTCTTAAAATACCATCAAAAGTAAACTGTTGCCTTAAAGTAGCATTATGTCACATTTGACACGTGACACTGAGTTGCCTTAAAGTAGCATTATGTGACATTTGGTACGTGACACCGAGACTGTCAATTTTGCTAATACTACCCCTGAACTACATGCTTCTTGCCTTCCCTTTTGAACACTGCTAAACACCTTCCCCTGTGCTGCTCCAGCCGCATGTCAGCGTTAAAGTTGGGGCCATCGAAAAAGATCCTAATGTCACGTGAGTTTCTAGAAAAGTTCAGCGGTCTTCAGCGTCACTGTTTAAATTTTTTGTGCCTTCTATGCCACTGCCGTCAGTTTGGTCTATAACTGCAGGTGTGAAAAGTCAAAAATACCTTTAAGTCTAAATATGTCATTAATTTTTTGAGCATCTTAACGACTTCAAATGAAAAAACTCAAAACTAGAAAGTTGTAGATCTCGTCGAGATCTATAATTTTCATATAAAAATTATCTTCATTTAATTCCGCAAAAAAATATGATTTTTCTAAAATATGATTTTTCTAAGATATATTAATCATATCAAATCATATTTTTTACGGAATTAAATGAAGATAATTTTTATATGAAAATTATAGATCTCAACGAGATCTACAACTTTCTAGTTTTGAGTTTTTTTTATTTGAAGTCGTTAAGATGCTCAAAAAAATTAATGACATATTTAGATATAAGGGTATTTTCGACTTTTCACACCTGCAGTTTGACGGCGTTAGAGCCCAAACTGACGGCAGTGGCATGAAGGGCACAAAAAAGTTAGAGCAATGGCGCTAAAGACTGCTGAATTTTTCTAGGGGCTCACAGGGCATTACGATATTTTTTTACGGCACACGAAGAATTCTCCTTTTAAGTTGCGAGGAGGTGGAGCTCGGCCTTTAACTAGGACTAGCCGGAGCGGCTGTTTGCAGTTGCTCCTCAACTCCACTCTGTTGCCTGTGAACAGCGTTTGCAGCAGATTACAGGTGGCGGACCTAGAAATTTTCTAGAGCCTGCGCGAACATAAGAATGAAGAACAAGTTCACATAAACATATCGACTACTGATATAAAATAAAAGGTATGGTTTTACCAGCTCCTATTCATTTTAAGGCCCTGTTCGCTTATCTTATAATCCGTCTTTTTCAGCTTGTTTTTTTAACCGGAACAGTGTTTTTCTCTCACAACAAATCAGTTGGAAGAGCGTTTCAGCTTGTTTTTTCAGCGAAGCGAACGGGGCCTAAAAAAAAAGTTAAAAATGTTACTTGTTACAATGCTTGAAGGAGACAGAGCTGGAGCTGGAGCCGGACAGACCACCAATCATGGAGCAAGGAAAAGGAGATATCACCAATTATCTCAGTAATTATGACAATAAAATAAATTGTACATTAACAAATTGCTACCAAAAGTCTAATATAGACTATGTAAGCTCATAGGAATGCGCTAGATACATTTTTAAACATTTTTCTGAGACAGTCGAAGAATGGTAATTTAACTATGAGTAAAAATAAAAAAAAATTACGAATTACTACATGGTAGTATCTGAGAGTACTATCGGCTGCTTGTTTTGTCGCTCTGTGAGACTTAAAAACCAACGAAGTGATTGATTATGTAGCAGGTAGTGATCGACGTGCTAATCAAGACGCTGCATTCTCCAGAGCTGCGGTGCTGCACTGGCTCTGCTGTCCTGTGTCAGGTGGTCGCCGACTCGCCGTAGAGAGCCCCGGGCAGGTGCCCAGGGTCGCCGGGCCCTGGGTCCGCCTATGCAGATTACCATGTAAGTATGGAACTGTAGCTTTTACCTTTCCTCAAAAACTGCAGCTATATACCAGTTGCTGGTTGTTTTTCGTTGAAGTGGGACCCTGAACATTGCATGACAGAAGTGTAGTCATGACGCATACCAACTGAAAATGAAAGGGAATTTTCTCTAATGTCATTCGTTAAAACTTGTATCTTTCATCTGTCACTAAAAACTCAAATCTTATCGATGCCACTACATATAAATTTCAATCTCTTTCACGCCATTACTGATCATATTCTGATAGTCTTGGCCAATAGACATCGAAAAAGCCAAATTACCCTTCTTCTCAGGACACAAATTTAGTTGTTTTCTTTTATGCTATCTTTTGTGGCTAAACAACTTAATCGAAAACTCAAATGTATCATTTCGAAAATTTAAAAGTATAAAAGCTATGATGTCCGATACCAGAAAAAGCTATGATGTAGTTATTTTTTGTAATAAAAAAAGAGTTAAGGGACTGAATATGTGCTTTTTGCAGTGGTCAATATTTGTAGTAAATGTGAATAAAACAATAACAGCTCAAGCAACAGTATTCTACCAAGTAAATACAGCTAAAACTTGCTAGTATAGAAGGTAGCTCAGCTTACAGAATTTTGGAGGACGTCTCTGTTCTCCTTGAGTCAATTGATGTCCTGTGCCAGAGGCGTAGTAGTCGTACAACAGCTTCAGCAGATTCTCCTTAGCAAGCTAGTCACATTTGTGATCAGATCCATCTGTGGTGTCTAAAAAAGGGCGTACCCAGTGCAGAGAGCTCCCGCTCTGTGCGGGGTCTAGGAAAGGGCGGGCCTGGTGCAAGCGGTAGAGTCTTACCGTCTGTGACCGGAAGGCCCCGGGTTGCACAGGGGAGGGTAAGGCTAATTTTCAGTTATTTCCCAGTTCATCAAACAGCAAACCGATTTTTATATATGTCAATAGCATGTATTCTCAATTCCAATTTCCATCAACAGACTGATATATGTTGAGACGGCCGGATATTTTGGAACAGGTAAATCAAGAAAGATTAAAAAAAACACAGATACAAGTAGTGAGAAAAAAACTGCAGAATGGTTCAAGAAACCAGAATATTTGGTGATAGCATTATTTTGAGGCATTACGCATGAATAAACATTGTAAGGAAACACATCAATCGAAGTGATTACGACTACGCCAAGACGGAAAATGATAGCCCTTGTACAGGATTGCTGGTAAGAAGACGCACACATGGGCAGGAACCAGGCAAGCTGAGTCCAAGGAAATGATATTTAACTTTTTTACAAGAGGATCAGCAGGAGCACTCACAGGGCACGACTGGTCAAGGCTACATGATAGTGGTGGACGGGAGTGAGGGATGGTGGAGCTGATTGCAATATTGATGGCCCATGGCTGTGAGGGACCGAGGCGGTGGTGGCAGACCAGAGCAGTGGCGTCTGTTCAGGAAGGCGGATAATGGTCGAGATAATTTTTGGATCAAGAGCTACATTCTTGGCTCTCATTTCATGTATCAATTTCAGAACCTTGTTTATCTGGCCTTCAGCACTATAGCCTTTGATCAGTGAATCAAATACAGCAACATCAGGCACAAAGCCACTTGCAGTCATCTGTTTAAGCACCCTCTCAGCTTCTTCTAGGTCTCCTAATTTTGCATACATGTTGATTAGCATTGAATATGTCACGGCATCAGGAGCCAGACCCTCAACAAGCATATCCTTAATCAACTGTTTAACCATTTTCGTATCCCCTGATTTGCAAGCGCCATGGATCATTGTGTTATATGCGACAGCATCGAGCCCGCAGTTCTTATCCATTTCATTGAACAGAACCATAGCTTGCTCCATCATTCCCTGTTGACACATAGCTGCAAGCAAAGGAATATAGTGAAATAGCTCGGCTTTTATCCCATGTTGCCTCATTGTACGCAAGAACATTTCCGCACGGTCAACTTCCCACATCTTGCTGAAGCCATTTATCAATATGCTATAGGTGAATGAATCAGGTTCCAATCCAGAACTAGCCAGCTCATCCATTAAGTTCATAGCCATCTTAACCTTGTGAACCCTAAGGAATCCACCAATCAGATAATTGAAAGTCACCAAGTTACACATACACCCCCTCTCGGTCATCATCTCACGAACTTTGACTGCTTGTCTCATCCGACCGATCTTACATAGTCCATGTATAATTGAGTTGAAAGTCACCACATCAGGCTCAACTACAGTATCTCCCTGAATCATCTCCTCAAGCAAACCCATTGCCTCATCCATCTCAAGCACACCAGAAAGCCCTGCGATCAGGGTATTGTATGTCACAACATCCAGTGCCACACCCTTGTCATCCATCTCCTTCCTCAATGCAAGCGCCTCCCTTACCGATCCTTCCTTGCACAGGGAATTGATGAGCACATTGTATGTCACTACATTTGGCTCCAGCCCCCGCTGCACCATCATGTCCTTCACCTTTGCAGCCTTACCCGTCCTTCCCTCTTTACACAAGTCATCGATTAAACCAGTGAACATGATCACATCCGGTTCGATCCCCCGGCGGGACATTTCTTCAAACACCTTGCCTACATCCCGCCACCTGCCGGACCTGCAGTACCCACGAAGCAAGCAGCTGTACACGACCACGTTGGGCTGAACACCACTCCCGCACATCTCAGCCAGCAGCTCCAACGCCGCGTCGAGCTCCGCGGCGTCGCAGAGCCCACGGATGAGCGTGCCGTACGTGACGACGTCGGCGCAGACGCCGCTGGCCTGCATGGACCGGAGCAACGCGACGGCCTCCCCCGTGCGGCGCGACGCGCAGAGCCCCCGCATGACCGTGGTGTAGGACACGGCGTTGGGGCGGGTGTCCGGGTGCGCCTCCTGCGACATGTCGGCGAGGAGGGAGAGCGCCTGGTGCAGGTGGTCGCCACCGCCCACGCGCTGGCGGCAGAGCGCGGCGAGGACGGTGTTGTAGGAGACGGCGTCGCGGACGTCCGGGAGCGCGGAGAGGAGGGAGCGGGCCTCCGGGACGGGCGCCCCGCGGAGGCGGCGGTTGAGGAGCGCCGCGGCGTCCGCGCGGCCCCGGCGGAAAAGCACGGCGAGGAACGGTGCCGCGGGGCGGGGCGGCTTCGGGGACGAGGAGGGCGATGGGGGCGGCAGGTGGGCGGGCGAGGCGGAGGCGGTGTCCAGCGCCCAGACGAGACGGGGCTCCAGGCGCTTCCTCATGGCGGGCCGGCAGCCGGCAGGGGCAGGCTCGGTGGAGGCGGGAGGACGGCGTCGGGCAGCGCCGCGGCGGAACCTTTTGTCCCCCGTTGCCTCTCAGCAAAGACCGCGGTGTGCGTTGGTTGGGCTTCCGCGTGGGAAAATCATAGAATAGGCGTTTGGTTGGGCTTTGAGCCTTCCTCGACGCACTTGGGCTGGACAATTAGATTCGTGCACAGTTTCGGCCTGCCGTGACCGTGACCAGACGGCTTTGGTTTCTGCAAGGTTGGGCTTGGGCTCGTTAAATCCGACACCGGTGATCAGCATGCATGGCGCTGTTGCATTGCAGCTGCAGAGTGCAGACAATGCTGCTCAGTCACGTGCATAGCAAGCAGCAGCAGGGGAGCGAGCAGTTCGCCATCTCCTTGCACTGCATCTGCATGGAGCATGGTTGGGCTCACCCGCTCAGGGGGAGGGGCCGGGGGCCAGCCAGAATATGCATGTTGGACGTACGCGAACCCGACACGGCGACACACTCACACCGATCACTAGGTCAGCGTGGTGCTGTCGTCCCAGGCCAGGCAGGGGTCCCATCCCAAGGGCAAGTACATGGCCGGCCAAATGCGCCCCAAATCCAAACCAGCAGGGCGACCGGTTGCTGCGACGCATTACACCCTTCACGAGTACTAAATGTGACGACCCCGTAAATCCAGTTCCTCTCCTGCCGCGTTTTTATATCGTAGTATATGTGTGTGGCTCGTGGAAACCCTTTTGTCTTGGGCCGGCGTGTTCAATTTCTTGTTGCAGGTTTCATCAATTCGGTTTCGGTATGCCTTGTGCTCGTCAGCTCGCTCAGCTCATGTGCCATGTGCTCGGACACGCATGAATCAATGCGGAAGCCGATCGAGCCCATCCGACCGCACTGGTAATAGTAGTAGCTGCATCACGTTATGCTAGTCACGAGTTGCTGCAGGGCGTGCTCCTGCCTCCTGCATTCGGGAAGGAAGGATGGATGGACCAACGATATCATGCCTTGCTTTCGTTACAAGGCGAATGCCAAATCAGAGACATGCATGCTAACGCTTGACACTCACTGGTTGGAATTGGATCAGATATAAGTAACCCTGCTGCACTGTGGTCTACAGTCACATGAACAAACACGTCCAAATTAAAAGCACCCTAGCTATTTGTCAGCCATGATACATACGTACGTATGTATACAGCTGGTCTGCTGCCAAATGTCAGCATATATATGTGGCAAATTAAATTAAACTGCAGGACCCCAAACTCGCTTGGGCAACTATCAGCTCATCTAAATAAAAGTATAAAAACATTAATCAGATTTTGTAGTTTAATTAGATAATAGGCCAGTTTAGGCAGTGAAAGGTTTGGTGGGTAATTACGATCCTCACGAGTCACGCGAGCCATGACTCCGTCCCATCCGAACCGTACCGCTCGCCTAGCGCACATCTGATCTGCACATGGCGTTGCGGCCCGCCGGCCTTTCATCCCCACGCTACCACCGGCTACTCCCAGGCCCAATGGACATTCTCTCAACAAGCAGCAGCAGCCCGATTTTGCCAATGGACCAGCAGCAGCCAATGGATCGGTGCTCCACAGTCGTCGACAGTCCCACTCAAGCAGGCATACATACAAGCAAGCAAAAAGGGTTTGGTTGGTGGTTGTTGGTTCACTTGAACCTCTTCACGAGACATAATGCACCAGGACGTGTTGCCATTGCCCCCAAACGAAACCACACCAAACCGCAAAGAAAACACCTCCAGCAGGAGTCGTCCCACCAATGCAATGCAAGGAACGTGGAGCCTTCGGCTCCGGCACGGCACAGCCCACACGCCCGGCCCGCGCCAGCCAACTCCTCGCCCCGCCGATCTCCGCACGCTACCAATCCAATCCAATCAATCACAGCAGGCAGCAAGCAGTCACTACGCGCCCGGTCGAGACTCGAGACCTCGGCTGCATGCGGTCGACCAGCGCACGCAGCGGCTCCCGAGCCCCAACCGGCGGTGCACGGTCGGTCGCTGCGCCACATTAAAACCGCGTCACGAGCTAGTAACACCCGGCGCCGCACGCGTGAGCGCGTGACGCGTCCGGTCCATACGCGCGCGCGGCCGCAGCCGCAGCCGCAATCATTTCCACGCGCCACGTTCGCCTCTCGGCGGGCTCTATCTCCTCGTGCAGAGAGCGCGGCGGGGCTAGGTGCGCGGTGTGCCCTGCTGCCTGCCGCAGCGTGCGCTCGCCGGGGCAGGGCTGCGGCCTCTGATACGCTGCGGTGCATGAAAAGACGACGAGCAAAGAAAGGGGCGGGCGCGCGGAAAACTACCCGTCGCTGCCACCGCCGCATGATTGGGGTTGGTTGGAGCGTCCGGTCTGTTGGATCCTTTCGGCACGTCAAGAAAACTAACCACTTCCTTTCATCGGTCTCCGAGGCGGCAGCAGCAACGGCAAGCAAGATCACAAACTCGCAATTCACAATTCACAAAGCAAGCTCGTAACTCGTGTAGTAAAACTGTAGAGCACGACAGCGTGAGCGAGCAGAGAGCAACTACAGCATCGATCTACTCCTACGAAAGATCGAGTTGCAGACGGCTTTATTTTGTCCGTTACTCCTACGAAAGAGCATGAGCCACGGCGTGACACGGTAACAGAGGCATTAGGAATTGGTTTATACTACTACTCCAGTGGCGCTAGTGTCAGTGCATCTGTACATGATGCCAGGCCACAGGCACACAGGCTTTTCGGATCGGATTGGATTGGAGGCTTTGCGCATTGGCCTCCTCCCCTGTGCGAGTGGAGCCAAACGGCGTCTTTGCCCGATACTCTACTCCTACGTTGTTGCCATCGCCGCGCCGGGACAGACCGGTGCAAACGACGAACGCACTGTACCTCGACGACATAAATGACTTAAATCTTTGCCTTTCGCATCTCCTGATCTGTTTAGTTCTGGCACAAAATCCTGGTAGATCGCGCTGCCCTCAAAGTGTTTTTCCAGGCGGCCAGCCCAGGCAGAGCCACCGTGCCGCCGTGCCGGCCTTAATGGAATGAACTGAACAGGTGGTGCCACTTCTTTTCCTTCACCGGCTCCGGTGTGCACCGTAGCAACTGAACTGAATCGGGGCCGAATGAAATCGTGCCAGACAGACTAATGACGCATTGCCCATCCATATATATACATATAGACCGGCATGCATGTAAAAATCCGTGGGAAACGATCAGTGACACGTTCCCTCAAAAAAGGACGTGCATGTCATGGGGCTGCTCCTTCCTTGTCCCTTGAAAGCAACATTGAGCTACACGATATGAAATATTCTCGGAGCTCGGAGCTAGCTACAACAAGGAGAGGTCAGATCGAGGAGGACCATCCGGCCCGTGCGCAATGCAAGGAAAGGTCCGCGACGAGACACAGCTCGTGTTCCCTTTCTCCCTTGTTCTATCTGTATGTACATGTAAAACAGAATCCCAGGGTCCATCCAAAGGATTAAACATATACTATCAGATTAATTAGTGCTAACAACTGGTTTACTTCGGCATAGGATTTGTTTTGTTTGCAGAATTTATAACGAGGTATTCTGCTGGTTTCTAGTGCATTCGTCGATCGATTGGCTCGTCGTCCAGCTCAAATCAAGGGGCTGCCGCCTTGCAGCATGAATATACTAATACTACTCATCCACGATTGAACCAGATCGATCACCTGCTGACCTGATGGGTCGAGAAGCATAAGTTAGTTAGGGTCTTAAGCATTTTCCAACCACATTCTGACTTCTGAGTCTGTTATGATCAGTGACAGAAAGAAACAATACTAGACGTCCAAAGGTACTACGATTACACACTCTTACATGAAAACTAACAATGGCATGTTGCAAACTAAACCTAGCATGCCTTAGGAGATTGAAAAGAACAACTCATACAAGCATTCCACATTTGGATTGACTAACAAAGGTTGGTCCTAATAATGCTCCCACATATTGAATCTGAGTTTGCGCCTTCCCATAGTATCCTCCGATTGATTGCAAGCGGTGGCGGTGCGAATGAGGCCCGTGCTTCTTATGGTACGGCAATCGCAGTTCGCGATTATTGTTGTATAGTGCCTCCTCTGCATCATTCTTTGTTGGCGTGTCCTCATCTTGCGTGTTCATTATACTTCATGGTCAACTCTAGGTCAAAGATGCCACTCCTAGAGATATGTGATGTACTTGTTGATGGAGATAGATAGGAGTGAGATCTAGTGAAAATCCGGACAGCTTGAATCTCGAAAACCCATCTACCAATAAGTACTACTACAAACCAAATGCAAATCTAAAAAGGAGAGAGTTCAAAGGAAATACAAATCTTCAACGATTGCAACCTTGCCCAAATGACTCTAGATGAACTCTACAACAAAAGTCATGAATGATTCATGTTGAGCAAAGGTCAAGAAAATGCCTCAATCGGTCAAAAACTCTAAATTGAGCTTTCTGGTGATGCTATTTACCGGTGTTGACCAATTGCTACTGTGTTTATAGTAAGTAATGGATACTGTGTTTATAGTACATACCACACCTGCAAAATTCAGAGTAGTCAATGCTGTTGCGCAAGGAAAACTCATCCCAGGCATGGAAATTGCAGTCAGTGCTGCTTACATTTTAACTCTGCCGGCTCTGGATGCATCAATCCCGATCACCTGACAAGACGACCTGTAAAAAAAAACTGCAAGCAAACGCAGTGCAAAGTACAAACCCAGCCGCTAAGCTTGGTAGTAACCTCATGCTAATGTATGCAATGAGCTCACATGCATGCCGGCGTCAGTTTTTTTCAACTTGTAGTGTTGATCGATGTTGCTGTGAGTATATCACCATGGATATGTTGCCAACAGAACATGAGGTTAGCATCTGATTGAGAGATGCTGGCACACTTGGGCCTAATAGAATTGGATACTATTACACTATACAGGGAGCGTTGCTAGGTAATAGCAATTTCTAAACCTTATATATTAAATTCCATTGAAGTGACACGTTCCCTCAAAAAGG